TAAAATACTCTTCTTTTAAAATAATCATTGTTTTCCTATCTAGGTGAAAAATAATTTTCGTCATCTGTTTTTTTAATACACGAGCTTCGCTAAAATCAGTACAGAAAGCATTTTGCGAATATTAAGCACAAATCATATTGAAGTATCCAGTGCGATAAGTTAATTTATATTCAATTATCGCACTTGATACTTAGCTTAATTGTTTTGGAATTGCTTGACTATTGCTAGGATAATTATTTCGAAATACATTTTAGAAATATTGATTTGTTCAAGAAATTTTGTTTTACATTGCAATATAAAAAATTTAAGATGTATTGAAAAAAGAATGTGCGTGTTTATGGTGAACTCACTGTTATTCTAAATGGCTGAGTTTTTCGTTTATAAAAATGGCTCTTTCGCCTTTGAATTGTCTTAAATTGAAATTGTCTTGAAAAGAAATATTTCAAAATTTTACATCTTAAGAAGGAAGCTAAAATGTCTTTAAAGAAGTTGAAATTTCTTAGCTGTTATTTTCAAAATTCATATTTAAACTTATATATATTTCGGTATCTAAAATGTATCTTTGAAATAAAAAAACACAGTTATACTCTCAATATCTCAAAATTGAAGGGACGCTAAAACAATTTAGATGCAACAAGTTCAGAACTTAATATGTTCTAAAAAGTAGAAAAAAATATATTCTAAGTATAGTACTCTAAAAGGTAGTCATGAAACATAAGAATAACTACTATTATAGTCAACTAATTATAATTGACTATAATTTAAAATTGAGTCATAAAAATTTTATTTTTAAAAGTAAGACAAAAATAATTATGCATTAAGTAGAAAATTGGTTTATAATAAACTTACATTGTGATTTTTCTGAAAAATTTAATTTTCTATTACGAAAAATATTCCACATAACAAGGTTTTGAGAAGAAACTCTGACACATAGGTATTCAAATTAACATTATTTGAATGTGTGCAGCCAGGGGGGAGGAGATATTTTTTTGACTTTGCAAGGTTTTCGAGATATAAAAGTTCAATATATCGAGAGTATACTGTAATTAAATTTACTATATTTTATTTAATGTTTTTTTTATTTAATGTTTTACTATATTTTATTTAATTTTTTACATTAAAAATTTTGTATTTTTGANTTAATGTTTTACTATATTTTAGTTAATGTTTATTAATTATTAAATGTTTTATTTAATGTTTAATTAAAAATATTATAAAAACAATTATAAATTTTTTAATTGTAAAATCAATAGCCAAACAGTAGGTTTTTGCATTTTTATTGTTGCATTTTTGTATTTACATTGTTACTGTGGATAATTGAGAGAAAAACAAATCTATTCTATCTCCTATATTGCACGCAATGCACCAATTTAAGAGATTTCAATAGGAAAATTTTAGTAATTGATTCAATTGAATAATCAGTTCTTTTTCCTTCCTGGATTTGAATAAGTCAAACTGTGGTGATTTAAATCTTAAATACTTTTTGTAAATCAGAAATTCGTGTTTTTACAATATTGTATAAGGCAAATACATAAATGCTTGCGCATCATGCGTTATGTGTTGTTGTTTTTTTTTTGGATAACAAGATTTTGTTAAAAATGTTTTAAAATGTTATTTTTAAATAGAAAGTTTCATAATTAACCTTACATTGCACAAACATACAAAAGATTTCGAAAGGAGAAAAATGAATGGTTGTTTGGTATTTAGCCAAAGTTTGTTTAATGCAATGGTTTAATTATATAAATGATAGCTTTTTTGTTGGCAATTATTTAAATTAAAAAAATGGTGATATTTTTCAGTTCTAAACGCATATTTTTAAGATATCAGTTTATGGTACAAATTTTCGAGCTTAAGCAAATGCAATGCTACTACTTAAAAAATTTTCCGTTCTTACGAGTAACAACTGAATTATAAATGCACGAAAGGTTGAAAAGATTAACGGGTATCTATTTTCAAACTTTATTTTCATTTTAATCTGACTTAAATGAAACATTCTGAAAATTTCCTTAAAATTAAAAAATTGACATTTTTGCTTTTTGAATGTTAAATATTTATTTGTTACATGAAGCGAACTAGATTTATATTTTGAAACTTTCTATTTATTCTTCTATTTAAGGAGGTGCCAACTATTACAATTTATCCGTAATTATTACGGTACGTAATAAAGAGTACGGTTGAGTAATAAAAATTTTAATTTGTGAGATTTTTTAAAATAATCTTTTAAAAATATTTTTTTTTCCTTGACTAACAAGAGTTATAAATTATATAACGTTTGCAGCTTATGTTTGAAAAAAAAGTAACACTTAATTATTTTTTCATTTAATTCTAAACTGACGTATATTATTAGATATATATAGAATTAAGTATTTAAAATTTGATTTGATTCCTTTTGGTTATATACATTATTGCATACATTATATGTTATATATATATTTATGTTATTTATATTATTATATATGCTACCTGTTGTGTATGCTAAAATTTTGTATATTATTGCCTATATTGTATATTGTATAGATTATTGTATATTAGTGATATCTTGCTAGGAAAGTTGGCACTTCTATATAATTTATTAATATTAAATTTTCATTCTTTGATTTTAAAAACCTTAAATTTTTTTATCTTTTTTTTATTACTTAGATTTTTGTTCCAATGTAAAAAAAGCAGAGAAGTGTATAATTTAAAGAGTAAGAAGACTAATATAAATAATTTATATTAGTATTCTTTCGTATGTTTTGTAATATTCTCTGTTTTCCTAAATAGAAAGCTTCTAGAAAATGTGATTGTTGGCTTAACATTCAAATCAGGAGTTCAAAATGATCGATAGACTAATAATATCGGATTAGACTGCTACCCGAATCATAAGATCCACTCCTCTTAAAACTAACTTTCCCTGATCAAATTAAATTAATCAAAACAGACTCCTTTAGTAATTAGTTACAAGTAAGATTTATTGATTTTTAGTTGGTTTTTTCAAAGATGATTTTTTTGTAAAAACGTAAATAAACTAGCTTAAAAAAAGTTGTTGGTAAAAAAATTTGGTAGTTGGTTCAAAAAAATTAGAAAAAAAATGGAAAAAATAAATCACAAAAAAGGGAAAATATTGCCAGCTGTTTCTCATATTTAAAAGATTTCATTAAATTTTCTATTTTTTCTACACAGTTAAATAACTTATAGTTCTAAATTGAGTTATGAAAGAGTTAGGTGAACTTTCTGAGAAACTAGTCAACTTATATAGTTATAAATTGAGTTATGAGAGTTAAGTAAACTTGTCACCCACTATGTTAAGTTTAACTACTAAGTTTCGTATATTTTAAATTGTTAAGCTGTTTTATTTTTAGAAAAATGAAGAGTTGTGATTAAGGAAAAATAAAATTAATTTACGTAGGGCAGAATATAATGCACAAGTGAAAAAACAGACGAACTAATTGCAAGTTTTATTTTACGAAGTAATTGGAAAAATTGAAAACAATTAAAAAAAATCCAACATCAAAGAGTTGGTGCTAAATGTAATATTTTCTAAAAAAATAGTTCATAAATTTTAATGTTACTCCAATTGTTTTCAATTGAATTTTGAATTTAATAGGAAAATATTTTCGTTATGAAATCGCTGTTTTCTGTTATGGTTGCGTTTTTAAAAATTAAATAAGAAACAAAATTTGATGCTACGAGACTATTGAATGTTTATTCAATTTGAACTTATGTCACATATCATTAAGATTTTAATTTGAAAAACCCTAAACTAAATCAAACAAAGCAAACATTAATTTTCATGCATGTATTATAACATGAATTCGGATAGCTTAGGTTATGTCTTAAATTTAATTATAAATTAAAGCAAAATATTGAACTAAAGATTATAAGTTTACAGTTTAGTTTTGTAAAAAAAATTATTTTAATTTATTCCATAACATATTGTTAAAAATCTAGCTTATATTGAACTTTGAAATCTCTACCTCGTTTTGAAAGAAAATATGAATTATTTTATGTCCAATTTCAATGAAGTAATTATTCAAAATACATTAAAAAAACATTAAAGCACTAATATTTTCTTTTATAAACGCATTATGAAACACCCGTTACATTTTTCAATCTTAAATTAGTTTGTGAAATATTATATAATTTCATTTTGATTTAACTGGTGATTTAATTCAGAACGTTGCAACATAGTAATTTTCAGTAAGAAAATATTGATTTTTTTTTATTTTATTGTCGCTTTGAGTACAATTAACAGTATACAAAATATATAATGATATAATGACTACATCACACTATATATAAAGAATGCAAATAAGAATATAGTTCGAATTTTATTTCACTAAAGAAAATATTATTTTATCACATTAAAGAAAATATTAATCACCGATGAATTTTTAAAATGAAATTATAAGAATAGAGTAAATTAAAAAGAAAGAAAAATAACGTGTAGAGGGTTAAAAACATTTTTTTAAAAATATTTTTAAAGAAATCAAATATGAATTTTCTGCCGTTTTTATTTGGCAATCCCATGTGGTTGCCTAGGTTTACCAAATGCTATGCCTAGCCCTGCCCAAACCTTGGTCATAAGAGTCTTCCTAGTTGCCAATTGGCAATCATAGTTGAGCAGTCTACCTATATTATTATTCTATGAAAAGCCTATATTCTGAATGTGTAGCTAACTTCATTTATTCTGTTTTGTGCCATGCATAAAACAGAAGGTAATATGTATTTTAAGTAAATATGGATAATGGAATGTTTTAATGCCTTCTGAGTTCGGAGTTCAAAAAAAATAAATAAATTAGAACTAACGTCTAGAATGAACGAATTGCGATTTGTCTGAAAATTTGAATTTTATTTTGCAAATTAATGATATTAACGCGCAGTGTTATCAACCGCTAACGGTAAACTTAGTGGAAGAAATTCAGTTAATTTCTTAATCATCAATTTCAATCGAGAAAAATTTATGTTTATTTTTAAATTTCCGAGGTCGATTGCAATATGTCTACTTTTTACTNTTATCAACCGCTAACGGTAAACTTAGTGGAAGAAATTCAGTTAATTTCTTAATCATCAATTTCAATCGAGAAAAATTGATGTTCATTTTTAAATTTCCGAGGTCGATTGTCATATGTCTACTTTTTACTCTTTAAAAACTGTTGTACGATGTTTACTTTTTAATTATGTATTTCATTTCAGATTTTAATCTAATATTTTTTTTCAGGTGAAACTAATGAATATTTTAGACATTTTTCAGTTTATCGATGTCGTTATCTTGTGTTCTCTGATCTTATTCGTATGGATGAATAGCTTTTTGTATGCTTAAGCACAGATGAAGAGAGCAGGAAATATTTAGAAAATACCCCATGCTCATCTTTTAATATATCAGGTTAGTTTAACAATTGTATGATAGTGAATTCATGCTGATTTGAAACCGATTTCCGTAAAAGTTGTTATAAATAAAAGTAATTTTTTTATTTATTTACAATTGAGTAAAATCCGCGACTTCACCATGAGCGGAAGTTTCATGCCGTGCATAAAAGAAAAACGGAACTTCCTGATTATATTTTGACCTAATAATCAAATTTTTACGTAGTATGACTCAATCTTAACGGTTCAAGGGTTAAACCTTAAGTATGCTAATGAATTAGTGCAGACGATATTTTTTGTTATGAAATCAGATACAAAAACGTGCTTTCTCTTAATAAAAATACCTTTTTTCCCTTTGAATTTGGATTGTTAACCCTCAAAATATGGGTGGGGTTAGCTGAAATCTGGAAAATAGTGCCCAACTACTTCTTCCAGTTTAACGTTAATTTTACTTTTTGCGTATTTTGCCAAAATTTTTCGACTCAATTATAAAAGTCACTTATTTAAAGATAATTCCATGCAAAAAATATGTTTAATAATTATCTATAATTTATTATTTTATCTAATAATGGTTGATAAAAACTTGAATAGTAAAGTATAAAAAAATTTACATCATTTTGGCGAAAATATTTTTGAATGATAATAAACAAAATAAAAAAAAAAACGGCCGAATAATTCTTGAGAAATTAAATTTTAAATGCATGGTATTTTTCACGCACTGCAAGCACTAATTCATGTTTTGTAAACCGATCCCTATATTATTGACTCTTTATTATTCAAATAAAGCACTGGGATCAAACGATAACTAAAGTCCAATTTTTCTTCTATCTTCGAGTTATTACGTTCTTTTCAACTCTCAACTCTGATAATGATTGCTTGTACGGTCGTTTGGAACGTATTTAAATCGTAAAATAATGTAACCTAATCATTTGCTTATGGTGCATCAATTAAACCATCACTCGTGTTTCACATGTTGTAACAGCCATAAGCAAAAAGTTAAGATTATTAAGGTTATTTAGAATTTAAAAGAAACAATGAACTACTACAACGCCCTAAAGTAACGTCTAACTCACGGGTTCTAATTTCTTCAGTAATGGAACCCCAAACTGTCGACTTTTGTTTTTGTTTGCCATAGATTTCTGTCCTGATATTCCTGATTTTTGATTGCATACAAAACATCCAATTTTCAACGAATACAAATTGGAATTATAACCGTTGTTGAACAGCCGACCCACTTTTTTGATTTACCACTATTAATAACAGTCTTTAGCCCGTCCCGCCCCCGTAAGGGGGCATCCGGGGGCACTCCGAAAGTTCGAAGTGAGCGTAACAGTTCAATTACATGAGCAAACATATTCAAAATTTTCAAATTAGAGTTTTAATAAATAGATGGAATATTAAATATGAAATCCAGAAAACAGTGCTACTTAGAAATAAACTAAGCAAACAAACATTACAAAGAAAATAACAGTAACAATCAGAAGAGATATTGATGTCGCATCTTCAGTAGGGGTGCAAAGTTAATAAAAGGAAACAATTTCACATGGAAAATATAGGATGTTTGTAACTCAGAATATAATTACGGCTGGTACAACAGTACTAAAGGTATCAAATTCCAGTAAATTTTTTTTTAACAGAAAGGACATATATATAAATTAAATATAAAAACTCTAGGAACACAAGCTATTAATTACCACTATTAATGATCAACTCCGTAGCCATGTCATTTTGAACCCAATCCAGAAGACAAGGGAACTCCTGGATCGAGTATTGGGAGAAATTTGCCTTCGTGGAGGACTTTTTGACAAGCGTTTGCGTTACATGGAGAGGAAGACCACGAGAACTTTCTAAGCTTAGCCTGACGTCAAAGGAACTCTAACCCATGATCCGTCTATCACTGAAGATATTTCACTTCAGCTCAGTAGTCGATGCAAGCTGGATGCGGATTCGTATCGACCAGCCTTCGCTGGGATTTTAATCCGGTTCACCTCATTGGAAGGCGAACGCTCTATCCCCAGAGCCAGCACCCCCCTCTCTATCCCCTGAGCCATTTAAAGAATCAACATATTTATATTTTTGATTCAACATCATTTCATTTTAATTTAATTAATACCGCTGTAAAAATCGCTAGATTCATTTGTTAAGCTTACAAATTTTTTCACGAATTGTATATATATATGGTTCAGTCATATAATATCATTTGATTTAAAGTTTGAAACTTTATGGGACTTAGGTTGAAGTTTTGTCGTTTCATAATTATTGATTCTTCGCTTTTGTCTAATTTAAAAACAATCTATTCTTATCAACAATACAGTAATATCATAGAATTCTTAATAGATTTAGGTATCATGTTCTAAATTACTGCTGTCAAAAATATGAAACGGCATATTTCTTGTATTTTTATTCCGAGTTTTTCAAATCCTTTTTTTAAAATCATATGAAAAAAAGAAATTTTGAACTCAATTAGAACTCCCACAATAAGACTTTATAAATTCTATAGTTACAAAAATTTGAACAAAGGAACTATCAACATATAGATTAAAAATAATTAAAGTTTCTTATCTACTAAGCAGTTTGTTATTTCAGGAATTTTAGAATTTTTCAACATAATTACGCTAAAGAAAACCTTGAATAAATAAATTTTATTAATGAAATATTATGAGTGTAAATAAGTGAACATATAGTTGTTTATTATTTAAATCAAATAAAATCTTCTCTAATACAGATTAGTTGTTGGAATGGATCTCTTTGTACTGTTGATTTAAATTTATTTTAATCCCTTTAACAGCCAGTTTAATAATCAAAACTGATTGATAACAAATTAACTTAAAATTGATGTATTTGAATAAAAATATTGCGTTCTAATTCTCTTTTAAGAGATTAAATCTTTAATTTGAAATATTAGGATTGAATTAAAAACAAATATTAAATTAAAATTATGAAAAAAGGAGTGTCTTCAAATAGCTTCTTAGTAAGAAAGATTTCCTATTGATAGTTCAATTAGTTATAACATTTTGAAACGTAACAAGTGAAATTAATTCATTGTGTATGAAATATATATTTTTTCATTTAATTTATGTTTTATTACCCATTGGCAAAATGAGTGCTCTTTCGGGTTTGATGGCGAGCGCACCTTATTTGGACATCACACTTTTCTATTGTGTTCAAGAGAAATCGTAAACAGTGAGCATGCGTCGTCTTTTCATGCGTTGCTATGGCGACCGCTGCTGCTGAATAATTTTTTTACAATTCTTTTATTTGTCTTGCTTTTGTTTTCTTTTTGATATTAATTAAATGTAGTATAAATGGTGATTGATAGTCAGGTGCGCTTTGCATCCATTTAATTAAAATAAAATATATATTTTTCAATACAGCATGACAATTTCATGGTCTTTAAATTTCTATTTTATTTACTTATTTATTTTTTATTCTAGTGCCATTGGGGCTTACACTCTTCTTAACAAACTGGATGTGGAGGGTATGATTGTATTTCAACATCAAATACTGTTGAATGTTTTGATCCTGAAAAATATGGGTAAGTTATTTGTTTCTTCTAATTCAAATAAGTTATAAATAGGTTTAAATTTGTTAAATTTAAAATGAAATTTTTTTTTATTATTATAATCATTAAAAACTGTAGTTTTCGTTAACTAGTAAAATTTTTTGATTGAAAAATATGCTTCCGATGTTTTAAGTTAACACGCAAACTTTAAATATTTGTTCCCTTCAAAATTCTATCATGTGTCAGATTTTAAATATATACTTTTAAAAATGTGATACATTAATTGTATCAAGTATTGAGGTTTATTGTGAATCTTGCTGGATTTTTAGTTTAAAAACTTTCAATGCTCTTGAATCATTTTATGAAAAAACAAATTTTTTTTCTCAATAATCAAATATTTCTCGAAATCAAATTTCGCTAATATTAAGTTTTTGAAATACGGATTTAAGGCACCTTTACTTATCTAATCTCGTATAAGTCTATTATCAGAAAACTCGTGATAACAGGAATTTTATTGATAAGACATTTTTTATACTTTTCTGCTTTTTAAATGAGCAAAACTGCAAGAAAGAACAAAATAGATATTATTTATTTTTGATATCAATGTAGAAAAATGAAAAACGAACAACATTTCACCTTATTTTCTTCATCAAGTTTTAATTTATTATGTTAATAAAACAAATATGTGTAGACAACCCTTGTCCAGAGTTACCTTCCCCTTTACTGAAGAAAAAAAGTCTTTGTTTCTTTCAAGAATCCTGCCGCACGCTTCAAATGAGTATGTTATTCGATGGCTACTTATCTGCAATAGCATATATTTATTTCTTGATTTTATTTATCTGGAATCGCATCTTATATAGATTTTGATTTCACTTCTTTGCAATGGGATCTTATTTTGATTAAGATTGTAATCTACATTTAGTATTCTCAATATGCTATGGCTCAGGGATGGTGTTCTCCTTCCAATCAGGTGAACCGGGTTCGAATCTCTGCGATGGCTGGTCGAAGCGAATCCGCATACGGTTCACACCGACCACCGTAGTGACGTGACATATTCTCTGTGGTAGACGGATCGTGGGTTAGAGTCAGGGCTAAAGATAATAGAAGGGCTAGTTCATTCCGCTCTTAGAGCTGAAGCTACGATTTCCCTCCTCATGACGTCACACTGCACACAGATCTCCTAAAGTAGCTCACGGGTT